GTTCAATCCCCCATACTGCCAAAATAATAATAGTCCCTGCAATCAATATAGAGATTTAATGGAGAATGAATTCATGCTAATTAGGGAATGATCCTTATGAGAAAAATGTAACAATTAAATGCTGTCAAAGAAAGTAAAATAATTTTTATCTTTATTGTGAGATTAGACCCCATCTTGGCCAGAAAGGAATCAGATAACATCAAAATTCCTCCACTATTAAAAAAAAAAAAAATCTGTTAAACAAAGATTATGGTTCAAATATTCTATTATACTTCATTTTAAAAACTATTTTTCTAAATTCTAACTTCATACTGGTATTATTTTCATGTCACATCGTCTTAAATTCAGATTTCAAACAAATATAGACCTAATGGCCCCACATAACTCATCCCTATTAACATATCAGCACCAGGAAAACAGTAAATTAATATTAAAAAATCATAGATAGTAGCCCAGGATGGTGGTGGCACACACCTGTAATCCCAGCAACTGGCTGAGGCAGGAGGATCACAAGTTCGAGGACAGGCTCAGCAACTTATCAAGGCCCAAAGCAACTTAGTGAGACCCTGTCTCAAAATTTTAAAAGATAAAAAGGACTGGGGATAATTGGCCCATGGTTAAGTGCCCCTGGGTTTAAAAAAAAAAAAAAAAAAAAAAAGTCATAGGTATCACAAATTTTTCCAACACTCCTATAAACAGTACATTTGGGGGGAAGGGGTTATAGGAAGTATACCATATTCCTGAATAAAGAAAATAATATAATATAAAATAAATATAAAGATTTATCCCAATTTAGAATTAATAAATTCTGTTGTTATTGTTTTGGTTTTGGTTTTTTGGTGGTGCTGAGGATTGAACCCAAGGTCTCATACGTGCTACACAAGCATTCTACTACTGAGCCTCATCCCAGCCTATAGATGTAATGTAATTCTGGACAAAATCATTAACTGGCATTTTAAAAATTTTAACCAAATGAATCTAAAACTCATCTGTAAAGCCAAACACATAAGATTAGCTAAGAAAATTGTGAAGAGGAATTGTGAGTGAATATGAATATGTATTGCATATAGCATCACAAACACATAGTTATATAATGCATAGTCCATTGCAAATTTTTAAAAAATGCAATCCTGCTTTAAGAATAAGTTCTTGAAGCATTGGTTGTTAATCTGTTTTTAGATTTTATATTACATATTCCTTTGAAAAGCTAACTTTTTACCCAGAAAAATGCACATATCACACTCACATAAAATGGCATACAGCAAGGAATCTGGGAAACTCTCTAGTATCTACAGAATCCCCAAGGGCCAATGGACCTCAAGTAAAAATGAACATACTTGTTCACTCAAACATAATACATAAGTTATGATCAGAGAAGCAACCAAAGCAAGTGATAAATCAACAACATAAAATTTGGAGAAAACTGGACATTTTTAAAAAATAGTTCCTAGCAATCCACCTTAATACACAATACATGAAAATACACACACACATATATATACATATATATATATATATATATGTATATATATGTCCATTAAGTTCCAGAAGTAATTAACAAAATAAAGGAATATTTACTTCATCTCACAATAAGTAACATTTTATTTACACAGCAGTTCTGAAAGAAGTCATAAATGAAAAAGGCAGTGAATTTTACTAAATAGAAATGTAAAACTTTATGTGTAAAACTTTATTAGTAAAATAAAAATGTTGGGGCTGGGGATGTGGCTCAAGCGGTAGCATGCTCGCCTGGCATGCATGCGGCCCAGGTCCTCAACACCACAAACAAACAAAGATGTTGTGTCTGCCAAAAACTAAAAAATAAATACTAAAAAATTCTCTCTCTCCCTCTCCCCACCCCCTCTCTCTTTAAAATAAATAAATAAAATAAAAATGTAAAACACATAAAATCAAAAATAACTTAAAAGGTGAAAAACTAAAGGAATTTTAAAAATTACTGCAACAAATACAAAAAGTTGAGGGCTAACATTCATAAACAGCTGTTCCAACAATAACAACAATAAAAAAGCATTAACAACCACCATAGTGGGGGGGGGAGATCGAAAGTGGCTAATTGACAAAAAATAAGAAAATACAAATATAAAATATTTAAAAGGTCAACCTTATTACTTGTACTAAAAAAAAAAAAAGTTAGTAAGCTACTACTATGTTTTTCACCTGCCTAACTGATAGAGATATGGGAAACACTTGTGCAAAGGGATTTATCAATTTGTAATGTCAAAGAAATATTCTAAGTTACAGAATATGACTCATGTAGAAGGATGTTCACTATAGCATTATTTATAATAGAAAAATGAGCAACAAAATGGACAAAAAAGGTAAAAGCTTAATAAATCACAGTAGATTCTTATTAAATTTATAATAACATGTGGCCATTTGTAAACATGTCTGAAAGAATATTTGGTAATTTGGGGGATTTTCACAATATGGTATTATCATGAGAACATTTTAGAAAACAGTAAAATGGGGAAATACTCATAGAACTAAATTAAAACAACAGGAATTGGGGGGCTATGGTAGAACTCAGTGGTAAAGTGTGTGCTTAGTACATGCATGGCCCAACACTGCACAAAAAAAAAAAAAAAAAAAAAAAGTAGGAATTAAATTATGGTCCCAATGAAAAGCTAAGTGACATTCATAGGTTGATCAACCATGCAAAAAGCAGTCCTCAAAATCACCAGACTATTTAGAGTGCTTATTTCCAAATGTTACTATTTTTAACATTTCCCAAATGTTCCATAATAACTACATTAAAAATATTTATACACATCACATTCAAATCATAAAGAAAAATACAATTTTAATGGTTTACGGCTGAATCATTCAAATCTGTTTTTTCTAAACTATTTTATGCATAAAATTTATAAAACTGCATGAGATTTTTAAGTAACTTCCCTAGCTAAGTGTTCATTCCTCAAGGAAGCTAATCTAAACATTTATATATTCTTTATATGTCAAAATCTTGTGGCATCATAACCACAAAACTGATTTCAAAATATGCTTGGTTTCTGACAGTATTAAAGAACAAATAGTTGATCTTCAGACAATTCATTAATCTTACTACAGTAATAGTTATATATGCCTTCTAAGAAACATGAGCAAAACTGTCCTATCAATATTTACCTTGTATACGTTCTTCAAGTACCCCTTATGACCTTCGATATAAACTCAAGATGCAATCATCTGTATATTCAAAAGAAAACATAAGCTTAAATACATAAACCAAAGAATTTCATTTTTGTGGAAGTGAAAAACTATACCTTTGCCCTAAGATCAAAGTTATTTTCTTAATCTATTATGTATACATACACAGACACAGAAAACACACATACTTTCAACTCTAAAACACTTGAAATAACATGCATGTAGGGAGTGGAAGTTAACCACCTCAGAAGCATAAAAGAGTGAAGAATGCCTTCATTTTGTGTAGAAAACAACAGAGGTCCAGGAATTACATTAGAACAAATTAAGATTCTGTTGAGAAAAAAGAAAAATCTCTTCTATTACTCCATTCCATCTCATGTGACATCATTAAAAAAAATCTACCAACCAAAAGTACTCCTTTCAATTACATCTAATTAATACTTCAGATATTTGTTCTGGGTAATAAAGATGCATTTAACAAACCAAGAGTATAAAGCCATAACCACTTCTTTTGCCAGTAGAATGATTCAAACTTAGCTCATGTAACGAACCAAGAAACCAAATGCTGTACATATGAACCACAAATGAAATTTATGAAACTGTAAGTTTTTAGCCTAATAAGCAGCAATTTACACTAAGGGGGAAACATATCAAAGCTTATATAACTTCCCCCAGGTGTGTTATATAAGATCTAAATATAGTGACACTACCATTTTAAACTAGAACCAGTGGCACTTAAAAATTATCTTAAGAAACAAACAAAAAAAAAGACAGAAGCACATCTACAATTTAAAAAATCAAACACGACTATATCTCAGAAGCATATATACAGTACTGTTGATATGTTTAAAATCGACATTTTTTTTTGATGGTCCACTCAATTTCTTCATTAAGGCCACAATAACTGGATATTCTTTGTAAAATTCTTAATCACCAAAATTTACCAAGTATTATGGCTTACATATCATGCAAACAAAATGTAAAGAATATGAACTAATTTCAAGAGTTAACAATAATTAACTGAAACAGTAATGGACAACTGATCAAAGGTACTGAAAACATGTAAAATTTAGATGTTCAGCATACAAATATTCAAATTAAAACTTCATAGGATCAAATTTTTTAAAAAACAAAAAATTGAGCAATTGAGATTTCACTTTAAACTACTTTCTATATTCCTTCACTGTCCCAATATTTCCAAAATTAAAATTCTATTTCGTAAATAGTGCACAATCCTTGATAACCAAACTGGTAAAAACAGGGTTAAAAATGTATTTGCAAAAATGCAGTTCAAATAAATGCACTTCCCGTGAGAACACCACTAGGTGCCGATCTTTATCTCCCTAAACGTAAACTTTAGTCCTACAATACCCTAATCGTGAAATTCAACCGAGAACCACAAGTGACAATTTTCACATAAAATTTAATACACAGCGTCTCAGAATCAAGTAAAAAGAGAGGGGTTGAAGGCCGGTATAAGAGTACAACATAACTGAACGTTTTCCTTGAAACTGTAGGAATTGGAGAGTAACAAAACGAAACCCCTCAAGAATGAAGAAAATTAAATCTAGAACCCAAATGGCGTCCAACAAGAACATTAGATCTGGAAAATGAATATTGCGCTTGCGCAGCCACCGCCCCGCCAGCTGCACAACTGCAGCTAGAGCCCGACCCCGCAAGATCACGTGCTCCCATGCAGCGCCCGCCCGCAGCTCCGCAACCGCGCAGGCGCAAACACAACTCCCGCAGCCGCCATAATGCGGTCTTGAGTCTTCAGAAATACAATAGTAATTTAAGAAAATGTTCTTAGAACAGCCCTTGGGATTCACATATACCTTGGGGGGCGGGAGTTGAGGGAGGGGGCAACCACGTTCCTTCCTACAGAGCCGTCCGGAGCAGCCGTCCCCAGCGCTGCCGCCTCAATATCGCGCGCTTCAGTCGCCGCGCCGCCGCTGCCACTGCCGCCGCCTCCGCAGATTCAAAAACAAACCCGCTTCTCCCTTGCACGCGCCGGGGCCGTTATGCAAATTAATGTAGGCGGAGCTCCGGGATCGTAATATGTACCCCGCCCACTGTGCTATTAGCCAATAAGCGCAAGGACTGGTCATTCCCCATGCAAATCTCCTAGTTTTTTATTTGAATGAGGGACTTTAGCCCCGCCTCCTGTCGTGGAAAAGAGAATTAAGTCTGAGATGGTGGCGCTGTGCCTTTTAGTTGCACTGTGAGGAGAGTTTTTGAGTGGAGCTTCCTCTATCAGTGAGTAGCACTTGGTGAGCGCCCTCTATGAGGCTTCCGAAGGGAAGGAATGAAGTAGGTGAGAGTTGAAAAGTGGAAAGAATTTCAAAAGAGGCTGGGGTACATTGATTTATTCATGTTTTTTTTTTTTAATTCACAAAATATACTTGAACTGTGTTAATAACCAGGGAATGGAGGAGGCACCCTTATTTTCAGATATTCTGTGAGGGAGTGAGTACTTCAACTCATACCTTGCCACACTGGAAGTTGTATCCATCCCTTTCAATTATATGGGAGGCTGGGGACCAACCCCTAACCAAGAGCACAGGATAAGTCGCTACCCTAATGGTCGAGAGATCTGGATTTATTTCCAAGCACTGCGCTTCTTGCCTCTTCTTCAGAATAGTGAGTTACTCAGTTTTCTCATCTCTAAAATGGTGATAAAAATTATAATTCAACTCGATTCAATGGGCTAATAAACATAAATGTGTTTCAAGCCAAAAGGGGACTGAAAAATATTAGATCGTAATCAATTTCAATGTAATTCTTTATTATATTAATGTATTTGTTCATTATTTAGCAAACACTGTGATCCAAAACTCTGACAGGTGCCTGTCCTCAAGAAATCTGTACTCTGAACTGACATGGTAGCTCATACCAGTTATCCCAATTACTCTGGAAGCTTAAGCAGAAGAATAGAGAATTAAAGGCCAGCCTGCGTAACGTGGTGAGACCTATCTCAAAAAAAAAAAAAAAAAAAGAAGTAGAAAAAAAAATTCTATACTTTGGTGAAGGAGACAGAAGAGCAAACAGGAAATTTTTGTACCTAAGAAAAAATTAGCACCAAGTGGTTAATACTTTTTTTTTTTTCATAATTTAGGCCTTTCAATTGCTTGAAATATAGGGTGGCTTTCAAGAGTATCACCTAATCTGGACTTGAAAAATCAGAAAAGCCTTTCTAGAAGAAGTTACCTTACATAAATTTGTTGCCTAAAATCTGAACTTTATCTTGAGAGCATTTAAGTCCAGAAATAACACAAATAGATTTGCATTGCTTAATTGCTGAACTTTGTAAAGTACTTAGTATAGAACATAGTATATAGGTGCTCAAGAAATAATAGATGCTCAGTTATACTAAATTATCATTTATTATCATTTGTTTAGTACATGGGTACTCAATAGTAAAAGAATCACTCTACAATAAAAAGAAAAATGGGATTGGTTTCCCTTGGTATGTCTTCTGTAAGCAAATTTAAAAAATCATTTTTATAATAGTCTGTTCTCAATTGTCTGTGCTAATAGCAAAGGGAAAAATAACTATCAGTTTTGTTAGATATGCTTATATTGGAGACTTATCTCTCAAAGATTCCAAATAAACAATTTTACTGGCTTTGAGTTTTCCCAGATGTCCTTAACCACACATTTCCATTCTTTTCAGATATACTACCTGCTGATGGATCTAACCATTTTTTCACTGACAATAATAGTATTAATAATGCAGTCACACATTCTAGGTGCTGGAGATACCCAGAGTAAATGATGGTGCCTCCAATAGGGAAGGAGTTATATATATACACACATACACACACACACAAACACTTTGAGATCATTAATATCATGGAAGTATGTATTAAATATAAGAATATATAAAACAAGAGGACTTAAATCTTTCTCATAGTATGTTGGAAACTTCACAGAGTGTAGCTCAGTGGCAGAAAGGCTTGTCTACTACTATTCACAAGGCCCTGGGTTCAGTCCTCAGGAACTGGCCCCATACACATACACACCAGATTTCACAGAGATGATAGTTGAACTGTCTTTATGCTGCAAAATTTTTAAAAGCTGCCAGACTACATAAAAAAGAAAGATAATTCAAGTTAGGTAAAACAAAAGGTACAAAGTAATAAAGAATGAAAAACGCTTGACTTTGACTTATAGGTAGGATACTCAAAATGTTTATCAATCCTTACTAGGCACTTCCCAATAAAAATGAAAGAAGTCTTGAAGATACCTTATTTTGTCAGATGTTAATCCTTTAGTTGTAGGATTGTGGGGGTGTCCAAAGTTCTTCAGTTGTAGATTGAGGCAGATAAGGGGAAGAAGACATATTCAGGAATGGGGCAGCTACTTACCAATCAGTACAGAAGGATTTCAATATTTTATCTACAATTATGTTCTTATTACATCAGGCCAAATACCATTCTTCTTGAAAAAAGATGCTAGAATAAATTGAGACCATAGAACCTCACAGAAAGAAAAAAGATGAAAATAATAAATGTAAAACCAAACTTTTCAGTTGTAGAAATTTTTTTAAAAGAGAGAACTTTTTTTTTTTTTTAGAGAGAGGGAGAGAGAGAGAGAATTTTAATATTTATTTTTTAGTATTTGGCAGACACAACATCTTTGTTTGTATGTGGTGCTGAGGATCGAACCTGGGCCGCACGCATGCCAGGCGGGCGCGCTACCGCTTGAGCCACATCCCCAGCCCAAAACAGAGAACTTTCAAAAAAAAAAAAAAGTATAATCTCCAAAAATGAAACAGATGAAGAGAAAAACTGAAGTTTCTAAACAAAGTCTTGAACCACATAACATTTCTGTCAACAGACCAAATTTATAGTGGTACACATATGCGATTATAATGGAACCGAAGATTGTTTGTCACCTATGACATAGACATCTGAACATCATAACACAATGCATTACTCGTGTTTGTGGTGATGCAGGTGTAAACAAATCTGTGCTGCCAGTCATATAAAAGTATAGCTCATATAATTATATGTAATAATACTTGATAATGAAAAAGAAATGACTTAATGGTCTATGTATTTATTATACTCTACTTGTTATCATTATTTTACAGTACTAGTGTTCAAAAAAGGATTTACTATAAAAGTCTGCCCTTTAATACCAGCAGCAGCCTCATCCATTTCTATCTTGTGTTTATCTTGATTGCATCAAGAGGTCACAATAAGTGACCTCTACCATTTAGATTAGTGTAAATATATTGTGATGTTCACAAAGTGGTAATTTTATGATAACATGTTTCTGAGAATTTATATCATCATGAAGTAATGCAAGACTGCTATAAAATAAGGCCTAAACTAATGCTTTCCGGTCTCTGAAGTCTTACTACCTAAACTGGAATTCTTTCTCTGCTTCTTACTTGGTTTGTTTTCTGAAATTCTTTATACAAATAATATTTCCTTATATATAAATGGGGATGATAAAAATAACCCTGATCTGGTAAAGTTATGATGAAGATTAAATTCCAAAAAATGTTTGGAATTATACTGGATATATAGTAATAGCTCAACAAATATTAGCTAAGAGTGATTATGACAGTAGTTGTATTACTTACAGGAGTAGTAATAACTAAGCTTGCACAATTTGTATCTGCATTTTCCTTACTCTGATGAGGGGATATAGCCTAGTAGTAGAGTGTTTATCCAGCATATATAACTCCCTGAATTGCATCCCCAGTACCATATATACATAGAAATCAAAAAGGAGAATTCCTTTGCTGGGCCTGGTAGCACACACCTATAATCACAGGTATTCTGGAGGCTAAGGCTGGTCATGACCAGCCGGAGCAACTTAAACTAAAAACAAACAAACAAAAAAATCAGGATGTAGGTCAGTCAGTGTGTTCACCTAGCATGTATGAGGCCCTGGGTTCAATCCCCACTACCACCAAAGAAAAAGCAAAACAAAGAAGATGAATCAACCACAACCTAATAATTTCTATTATTGTACTCTAATTTACAGAGAAGTTCACTGAGGTATTAAGCAGGCAAACTTGGGACTACTCAAGAAACAACTCTTGAGAATAGGGTTGTCGGAATTCTGAGATGACACATATGACTCTTACCATTAGGTATTCACACCCTACATAATTCTATCCCCTTAAATGTGGACTTGCTTTTAGCCAAGAGAACATGACAAAAATGAATGAATTTTGCAAATGCAATTAAAATCCTAAATACATTGATTTTGAGCAAACCAAAAAAAGTGATTATCTTGGGCACACCTGACTTGATCTGATTGAAAAATACTTTAAAAAGGAACTGGACTCTTCCCAAGGAGGAAGATTTTACTTGCTGGCTTAAAGAAAGCAACCATGTTGAATAAGACCACGAAGAAAGTTACTACAGGTGGCCTATCAGTTCTTCAGGTGACTTCTAAGACCTGAGAGCAGACTGCGCCAACAGCCAGGAAAAATACCAGGGCTCTCAGTCACATTTGTAGTCATGAGGAAATAAGTTCTGCCAACAAATTAAAAGACTTAGAATCAGATTCATCACCTATCAGCCTTCAGATGAAAATGCAGCTCAGATGCTGTAATTTAAATGTGTGTTGGAAAGTTAACCTTCAGTGCAACAGCATTAAGAGGTGGGATCTTAGCCAAGCATAGTGGTGCATGCCTGTAATCCCAGCGATTTGGGAAGCTGAGACAGGAAGATCACAAGTTCTAGGCCTGTCTCAGCAATTTAGGGAGACTCTGTCTCAAAATAAAAAATATCTTTAAGAGGTAATTAGTCATGTGACTCAAGCTTCATAAATGGATTAATGTCATTATCTCAGGATTGGGGTCATTATAAGCAAGACTGGGTCTGTTATAAAATTGAATTTAGTTTCCTCTTGCTGTTTGGCATGCTTTTGCTATATGATACCTTCTGCTATGCTTGACACAGCAGGAAGTCCTTCACAAGATGCTAGCCCCTCCCCA